CCTAAAACAGATAACCATGTAAGTTTTACATTTCCTCTTCCCTAAAACAGATAACCATGTAAGTTTTACATTTCCTCTTCCCTAAAAGTTGTCTTAGATTTAACTATCCTTGAAGTATGTAAGTTTTTATGTGCATAGGAAATTCCAAAAGGAAAATAACAACTAATATCAGTGTATAATCCTAACTTTACTTATGGCCAGCTGTTATATACCAGTGTTTGACATTTATTAGCTAACCATATGTATAATATCTGAAATAAAATTATGTATATCATTCAGTTTTTCTACATTTTTTTTTATATGTTACTCAGTAAGCACTGTATAGGGACAGATGGATAATGTAGACAGATAAATTCAGTAAGGACATAGCAAAACTGAACTTTAGCCAGCTGGGTCAACCTGACAGCCCTCGTCCAACCATAATAGGATATATCTTCCTAAGCTTATATAATACATTCACCAAGGTAGAATGTATATCTTGTGCATGAAATATACCTAACCTTTTGTTTGGTTTTTTGGTTTGGTTTGGTTGGTTGATTTTTTGGTTTTCTGAGACAGAGTTTCTTTGTTCCAGGAACTCACTGTTCTGTAACTCACTCTGTAGACCAGGCTAACCTCAAATTCAGAGATCCTTCTGTGTCTGCCTCCAGAGTGCTGGTTTGGGGTTGTTTTTTTTTTTAGCTTTTTGAAACAGAGTCTCACTCTTCAGCCAAGGCTTGCCTCAAACTCAGGACCTTCCTGCCTCAGTTTCCTAAGTGCTAAAATTACAAGCATACACAAACATACCTGACATACACTTACTGTCCTAGTTAGGGTTAGCATAGCTGTGATGAAACACCATGATCAAAAGCAAATTAGGGAGGAAAGGGTTTATTCGCCTTGCACTTACACATCTCTGTTCATCACTGAAGGAAGTCAGGACAGGAACTCAAGCTGGGCAGGAACCTGGAGGCAGGAACTGATGCAGAGGCCATGGAGGAGTGTGGCTTACTGGCTTATTCATCATGGCTTGCTTCAGCCTGGTTTCTTATAGAACCCAGGGCCACCAGCCCAGGGATGGCACCACCCCCAATGGATTGGGTCCTCCCCCATCAATCACTAATTAAGGAAATACCCTACAATCTTGCCTACAGCTGCATCTTATGGAGGCATTTTCTCAACTGCGGTTTCCACTCAGATGACTAGCTTGTGTCAAGTTGATATAAAACTAGCCAACACACTTATTTTTTAGAAATAGAAATTACATAAAGTATATTCTCCAGTTACAGTGCAAATAAGATTAATAATAATAAACAAGGAGTCAAATTCTATAGACTGCTGAATCCAAGATCCCATAAAGAGACTCAGATCAGTCAGGATAATTCTGTGGCTCATCAGGAAGTAAAATCTGTTAGACTGAAGACCAGATGAAGTGCAGCTGATGGACTCTTCAATAGGGAGACTAGCCAAGCGGGCCTGTGGCCACTGAGATGAGGAGATTCTCAGAAAGGCGATAGATATACAACTCTCCTTGAGACTGAAGTGTCAAAGCACTCCAGGAACCGTGGGCTTTCAGGATTCTCCTGACTCAGCCCTCAGGCTCCAGCAGGAACTCCAGTCCAAGACTTGCTCTGGGTGCTGCACCTGTTACCCAAGTCATGGGGCCTGGTATCTTTGTCTCAACCAGATGGGGCCCAGCACCTCTGGGAGGGCAGCAGATGTTGAATTGACTAAATAAACCATTGTTTCAAGTTATAAAAAATACTTTAAAAGAAAAGAAAAATTAAGCCAGATGGTGCTAGCGCATGCCTTTAATCCCAGCATTTGGGAGGCAGAAGCAGGCAGATGTCTGAGTTTGAGGCCAGCCTGGCCTACAGACTTGAGTTTTAGGACAGCCAAGGTTATACAGAGAAACTCCATACATGTTTCCTTTATGCTTTTCTGCATGTGAGACCATGTTATCAGCAAATATTTGTATGGGCTGGAGATGGCTCAGGCAGTAAGCACGAGAGGACCTGAGTCGGATCTCCAGCACCCACATAAAAAGGCAGACCTGGTGACATACACTGACGATTCCAGAACTGGGGCTCTCTGGACAGCCAGCTTAACATCATCTACAGGTTCAGGCTTCCAGTAAGAGATTCTGTCACCAAAAACCAGCGTGGCAGACCCACAAGATGGCTCAGTCAGTGAAGTGTTTGTCACATGAGCCTGGTGACCTAAGCTTGGTTTCCAGAACCCATGTGAAGGTAGAGAACTGATGCCACAAAGCTGTCTCTTGACCTTCCCACTCATGTTGTAGCATGTGTGTGCCCACACGTGCACACCACACACACTGTTGTTATTGATGATGATGATGATGATGATGATGATGATGTTGTTGCAAAAGTTGGAAGCTGAAAAGGTAGCTGAGCAGTTAAGAGCACTGGCTGCTCTTCCAGAGTACCTGTTCGATTCCCAGCACTCACATGGCAGCTCACAACCCACTGTAGCTCCAGTTCCAGGGGGAGTTCAACCCTCTTCTGACTTCCACAGACACCAGACACACAGTGTTGCACAGATATACATGCAGGCAAAACACCCATACACACAAATAATAACAAAATACTCTATTTTAAAAAGTGGTTGACTCCTTAGAAATAACACCCAAAGCTGACATATGCACACCTGTATACATACCCAGCCCTACACACACACACAGTATTCCTCCAATATGAATGAGTTACTTCATTTTCTTAACTAGTTGTTCTAGCTAGAAACTGTAATATAGTCATAACTATAAGAAAATGTCCCTGCATTTGTCCCAAGGGGAAAGTTTTCAGTCTTCCAACATTATAATGTTAGCTCTAGGTGTTGTTTTGTTTTTAGTATATATACCTTTTATTTGAGAAAGTTCCCTTATAATTCCTATATTGTTGAGTATTTTTATCATAAAAGAGTTAAATTCTTAAGATGATTTTTTCTGCATCTATTGATGACTCCAAGGTTGTTGGGTTTTGGGTTTTTTTTTTTCCCTCCCTTGTTCTATATGGTCTATTGGTTTAGTACATTGGTTTTTGTATGTTGAACAAACCTTTTGTGTTGTAGAATATTATTTTAAGCTGTGTTACTTTTGTTTATGCTCTGGAACATTTGTTTAATGATGCAAAGATATGTTTGATTAAATAAAATTCACCTGCGATCAGGAGGCTGCATCAGCAACTAGCTGACAGGAAGTGGTAGGGAGGAGCCAGGTAGACAAAGGTTGATGAGGGTGGAGAAGCGCAAGGGCTTTTTGGAGGAGATGAGCAGGGAGAGGAGGTGAGCTACTTGCTAGTCTACCTCTCTGAGGAGCAGAATTCCACATTAGCCTTTGAATCTTGAGTTCTTTAGAGGGACAGAGATTTAGTTAAGTTCCCTTGGTAGCTTTGAAAGAGTCGGTGCCTGAGGGAAACAGAAGTCCCTCAGGCTGCGGCTCCTGCCGGCTCTTGCGGCCTAACCACTGCTGCTAGCAGTGGAGTTGCAGTTGCTGATTCAGACAGTTGTGGCTTAAAAGACAGCAACAATTTAAAAAAGATGACACTTTTGGTTGTAGGATAAACCTAACCAAACCATGATGTATATGCTGTTGGAATCAGTTTGCTAATGTTTTCTTGAAGATTTTTACATCTTTGAATATTTGGTAGAAATTCAGCAGTAAGGTGATCAGACCTTCAACTTTTCTTTGTGGTAAGTTTACTTCTGGGTTAAACTTAAATCCCAGGATGGTCCTGTGTCTGGACCTCTACAGTCAAGTACTCTGGTGTTCCATGAAATAATTCTGCCTTTGAACATTCCTGACCCTGTGGTAGATGAACCAGCCTCAGAGGATTCTAAGATAGCAAGCTGGAGGCTCAGCAGCTAAGAGCACTTGGAACTCTCCAGAGGACCCTAGTTTGGGCCCCTGCACCCACAAAAGACAGCTCACGGCCACCTGTAATTCCACGTCCAGGTGAGCTGATAATTCTGACCTCCGTTTTTCTATATTAGTTTTGTTCTTGAGGATGAAGTTCAGTTGTAGAGTGTTTACTTAGTGTGCCCAGGACCCTAGTTGCCATCCCCAGCAGTACTCAAGGGAAAATACACAACCTATAAAGGAATTTCCAAAACTTCAGCTTCCAAGGCTGAAAATTCAAGATCAGACAGCCCCAAATGTTTGGCCTCTGGTAAATAACAAAAGTATGCCAAGGAGAGAGTACATCTGAAAATAAGGTCAAAGACAATGAGTTGGGCACATTCTTATAGAGCTCAAGGTTCCAGTGAGTGCCACCTTGAGGGCAGCTGCTCTGTGACCTAAGTACCTACCACTAGGCCACCTATTCAACATCACCACATTGGGCATCAAGCTCCCAACACACAAATCCTTGGGGAATGCATTTCCAGACCATTGTAGACCCCTTAGTTATTGGGGTATTAAATTTATATGTAGCTATAAAAGCTATCAAAACATGAGACGTCAGACAGTATTTCTTCAATCTAAAGGGCATTTTAAAAATTTTATTTAAATGTGAAAGACTGCTTTATTCCTAGAGTTGGGAACAAGGCAAATGTCTATCTAATTCAACATTTCTATTCAGTATTACACCGGAAATTCTAAATGATGCATAACAAAAATACTCTGATTGGAAAATAAGTGAACTATTCATAA